CTTTTAATTTTAATCTGCATTATTAAAATTTTCTCCATTACTTTTTAATGTCTAGACAATGAACAAAACAATAAATTGAGCCCTGATGTGTAGTGTTTGCCAATTTCTAATGTGAAAATGATCACACTGAAAATTTAACATTCAGCTCTCACCAGGCAACATGAGCTGACTCTAGCACAATATCTCTGGCTAGATATGTAAACTGGCAATCATATGCAAAAGGATGATAATTGGACTCATAGAGCCTGAAGAAATTACCAAGAGAGATAGTATAGAGCAGTGGTAGTATATTGACTTCTTATTGTTGTTGTTGTTCAGTCATTTTTTAATTGTTTCTGACTCTGTGACCACATTTGGGGTATTCTTGGCAAAAAAAAAAATGGAGTGGTTTTGCCATATCCTTCTCTAGCTCATTTTACAGATGAGGAAACTGAGGCAAATGGGGTTAAATGACTTGCCTGGGGCCACATAGCTAGTAAGTGTCTGAGGCCAGATTTGAACTCAGGGAAATGAATCTTCGTGATTCGAGGCCCAGCACTCTGTGCACTGTGCCACCTAGCTGCTATTTGTATTGACTTAGAAAACTACAAATTAACATTATCTGTGATGTAGAGCAATGATGTCAAACCCAAATAGAAATGACAGGGGTAGGAGGGAAGCATATTGACTCAGAAAACCTCAAATTAACTTTATCTGCGTTGTGTTTTATCAAATTAGTTGATGCTACAAAGCTTGAAAGGATAACTTTTTTTAGTTCATTTATTCATTGCTAATTATAGAAGCAGAATTTAAAAAGATAGCAACAGCTAGAACATTGGTAGAAAACTAGTAAGATAAAATATGATGTAGATAAATATAAAGTCCTCCACTTGGATTTAAAAAGCTGTGAAATAAATTGGAGGTGTTTGGCCTAGAGAAGAAGAGACAGAAAAAAACCTTTCCAATGGTCTTCAAGCATTTGAAGGGCTCTCCTATGGAAGAAACATTAGACTTTTGCTGACTGGCCTAAGAGGGCATATCAAGGAAGAATAAGTGGAAGTTACAGAGATTTAAGTTTGACATAAAGGAAAAATAAAACTTCCTTAACAATTAAATCTATCCCAAAGTCTAATGGGTAATAGGTGGTTTGTTGTTGTTGTTTTGTTTTTGTTTTTATTTTTTTTCTCTCTAGGGATTTCCAAGCAAAAACTGGGTGGGGTGTGAAGTGACTTTTGTAGGGACAGGGTTTAACTAAAAAGAAGAATGCTGAGGTAATTTCCAACCCTGATATTCTGTAATTCCTACAGTTCAAGTCTTCTGCATTCTTCTGCTTACAATTTCCCACATCTTTGTTGAAATCCATTTTTACAAAGAAAAAACTTCTATACATGGAAGGTTCTCGATACAGAAGAGTACAAGAAAATAAGTGCCCTTATTGTACAAATGTTTCATCATTATGATCAGTTAATCCATCCATCAGTGAACATTAAGCCCATTCTTACTGCCAAGCACTGAGGATGCAAAGAAAAACAAAAGCAATCTCTGCTCTCAAGGAGCTTAAGTCTACTGAGGGATACACCATCATCGTCATCATCACCATCATCATCCACTTCAGCAGACTTTAAGCATGTACTACAAAGTCCTGGGGTGCTCACTAGGGGAGATAGAACATCATGGAACTTAGAACCCAATTTAAAAAAATCCTCAATACAACCTTTTAAGATATGTAATACAAATATTATTATTACTATTTTACAAAAAAGGAAACTGAGGCTCAGAAACATGATGCAATGTGCTTGAAATGACAAAGCTAATTTGTTGCATATTTAGGACTCAAACATCAGGTGTTTTTGCTTGAGGCTCAGTGCTCCTATTACAGAATACTAACTCTTACCAGGTCATTTTCTTGCTCAGAAACAGTCAGAATTTCCATATTGTTTGGAGCATAAAATACAAACTACTTGTACTGACTTTTAAGATCTTAAATAGTCTCATTTCTACCTACCTAGCCTTATTTCCACATTGCTCCCCTTTATGCACCCTACATTTGACCCAAAATAAGCTGCTAGCCATTCCTAGAACTTAGAATTCTCTTGCCTCCATGCACTTTCATAAGACATGCTCTTAGGTAGGCTACATACTCCCTTCTCACCTCTGCCTTTCAGAATCCTTCTCTTCCTTCAAGGCTAAGATCAAGTACTACTACTACCTCCTCAGGGCAGCCTTCTCTAATCTCCCTAGATGTTAGCACTGTTTCCTTCCTTAACTTGTCTTTTATTTACTTCTGTGAGTGTTTCTACCCCTAGATGCAAGCTCTTTGACAACAAAGACTGCTTTATTTTTGTCTTTGTAGCCTTAGCACCTAGCAGAGTGCCTTGCACACTTAATAAATGTTGGCTGGATAGTAAGTATATAGAATCTTTACATGTCACTTCATACTCAGCCAATTGACCTTTTTAAGTCATCTTTCCTAATGCTGAAGGCAAATGGGCATGCTGATAAACTGTTAAGAGGTAGACATTGTTCTAACCATTATGGAAACAATTTAGAATTATGCAAAAAAAATGTCACTGAAATGGCCATACTTTTTGACTCAGAGATCCTAGATCCTTTATAATCTAAGAATGTCAAAGAGGGAAATAAAGCTATCATATATACAAAAGTATGTTTACTAACACCTTGTGTGGAAGCAAAGAATTGGAAGAAAAATATATGCCCATCCATTGGGAAATGGCTAAACAAAGTGTATTATACAGATAATGGAATATTACTGTGCTCTAAGAAATGACAATTAGGAATTGTTTAGATAAGTATGGGAAGATTTATATGAACTGAAGTATGGCAAAGTAAGCATAAGCAGTCTATACAAGGACTCTAATAATATAAAGAGAATAAACAACATAAATGGGTGATGCATAATTATAATGTCCAAGCTAGACCCTGGAGAGGAGTTAAGAAAATGTACTATCTGTCTGTCTCTACAAAGTCAGGGTTGGAGGTGGAGGGGACAGTATAGGTATGGAATATTGGATATACTGACAGATATAGTTGTTGCAACATAGGTCATAGATTTAGAGTAGGAGGGACCATAGAGATCATCTAATCCAATGCCTTCATTTTAAATGAAGTAAATTTTAAGATGAGTAAATTAAAGCCACACAGGTAGTAAGTAGCAGAATCAAAAATTGCGTTCAGCTTCTATGACTCCATGTTCAGCATTCTTTTCACTGTAACAGGCTGATATGTTGGTTGGTTTTGTGTAATTGTTATTTTTCCCTTTTGTTCTTGAAATCTTTGATAAAGGGATGGCCTGCTCGGTAGGGAAAAATATATTTAGAAATAAAAGTTATGTAAAACCAAAAAGTATAAATAAAAATAAGATAAAAAAAAGACATAGTCTCCCAAGGTACAATTCTGAAGGAGATGCATTTGGTTTGCAGGTGCTAATTTTGATGGCTATTGTTGAAAAATAAATTTTCAACAGAAATATTTTATTAAGAAATCAGTCACATTATTTTATCGTCCCACCTCATATCAGTAATTTGGCTGCCCAGGATACTTGTAAAGTCACAGAATTTGTCATTTGGCAGAAATCTCAACACCCCTCTAGCTCAACCAATTTATGAGAGTAATCTCCACTATAAAATACCAGACAAGTGATTATCCACCATGCCATGCTTAACGACCTCCAAGAAAGAAGAACTGGTATCACCAATTGATGCAGTCCATTTCACTTTTGGATAGCATAGTTCATGTTTGAGTTTTTCAAGATTAAAAAATGTTCTTAGAGTGAATAATCTTTCTTTTTAAATATTTATGAATTTTTCTTTTTAAAATTCAGATAAAAATATAACCTATTCTTATCAAAGGAGCCAATAACTGTGATTCTTTTTGTTTTTTCTTGAAAATTCCATAAGCTACATTTCAGTTCATTTTTGAAAACTGAGAAAAGCGCTTATCAATCATTTTAAGCAATTTCATGCTTGTCTATCATATGAAAAGATTTGCACTGCTACAGACAATATCAGTTCTTCTGGTCATTGATGATACTTGTTTTAATGTTCAAGAATAAACAATGCTTTCTACCCATTGTGTGGAATGTATTTATAGAAAATTGTCAATGATATCACTTATACTATCTCAGAGATAGTTAGGAAAGGGTGGAACAGGACCTTGTCACGAAGGGCTAATTATTATCTCCTTGTGATTTCCTCTCTGATGAAATATGGTATACGCATTTTAATTCTTAGGAAGTTGGTACTTTAGCATCCAGGGTCCTCAAAATAATCACAGAGAAAAACCTTTAAACTGGAGTCCTGATTGGCTATTGTGAATATGTTCCTTACATTTGTGCTAATGTCATCCCAGAAATGGATGCTAAAGCTCCTCACTTATGTAAATTATCTGCTTCTTAACATTCCCCCTCCCCAAACAGAATTTGCTGGTGCAATTTTAATTTGCTTAGCATAAGGCTAAAATATCACGTGGAAAAACCCCTAGTTTCGTTTTAACTCAGAAAATGAAATTGACTGATCCTGTTCACCAGAAACAATAATAAAACCAAATGGATTAAAGGAGTAGGGGGACAAATTTCAGCAAAATTGTCTGTTTTATATAGCGTTGCAGGGCAACAATAAGAATTGCCCCATAAACTGACATTCCTCTACTTCTCCCTCTCCATCCCTCTCCCTCTCTCCTCTATCTTTCTATCTCTCTGTCTCTCTCAATAGTGATTTTTCTGTTTAATAAACCAGAGATCAGCATTTATCCATTAAATCATATGGAAGTCAGGAAAGGGTCAGATGCTGAGGCTTTGTCCATTATTTGTAGAGATTGGAAGTAATTACAAGAACCAAAAATGGCATAAATCTAAAATGGTCTATTTGCAAAATTTCTGTGGACTTGTCCTTGTATCCTTTGGATAGCCAAAGAGTTTCCTACAAATAAAGGTAATATGATGGAACTCATTCTGGACAGTGAATAAATACAGATCCTTCCCAAATTATTTTTGTTTCCTTTAGGACAGATCTCAGTGGATGGATTCATGCGCTATCTGAGTGGAGAAGAAAATGGAGTTGTTCCACCTGAGAAACTGGATTTGAATGAAGATATGTCTCAGCCACTCTCTCACTATTTCATTAATTCTTCACACAACACCTACCTCACAGGTACTTCATGTGTAACTCTTGACCTGCCTCTGTGTTTATATGCTTATCTTATTTACTGATCTATGCTTGCCACTGCTAAAAAGTTGAAGTACATTAACAACCCCACATGTTTTAAGTGAAGTGTCCAATCCATTCCAAGGAATGCTTATTAAGTGTGCTAGGTGATGGGAATCATAAAATAAAAACAAAGCAGTTCTTACAGCCAAAGAATCAACAATCATGGGATTTGAATCAGAGATTGAGGGGACCTTCAAAGTCATTTATCTCAACCCTCACATTTTATAGTTGGGGGAAATGAAACCCAGAGAAGTGACATGATCAATTCCAAATCCAGAGCATCACTCTTTCTATGCATCATGGCTGGCCTTTTATTCATGAGGGCATTTGGGGGAGTATGGGTGGGGTCGGTAGATCAAAAAATGGCCTTCTATAGGAGATGGTGCATGAGCTAAATCCTGGAGGAAGTTAGTGATTCTAAGAGAAGGAAATATGTGTCAAGCATAGGAGATAGCTTGTGTGAAGGTACCAAAATGGGCAATAGAATGTTGAATCTGGGGAGCAAAAAGAAAAAATAGGCCCATTTGTCAAGAATATAAAATATGTGAAGGAGGGTATTTTAGAAAAACCCTGATATTGTGAGCTGAAGCTATTTTACAAATGCCTTTTAGTGTCTAGCCGAGGAATTTATATTTTATCCTATTGGTTATAAGGGAGAAGATTCTCTGGGTTTCTAGATTTCTAGATAAACAAGGTCACTATATATCCAAACCAGTCATTCAGACATTGCTGTGAAATTCTAAATGCCCCAAGCAACATAAATATTACTTCTCCCTAAGTTTATTTCACTCTTTTTTTATTTTTATACCTCCTCAAAGTCTTTTGGTTCATGACCATGATATTAATATCAAACATCTTTCTGTGTAACTGAGTAGATTACTCAGATGACCTTCAAACAATGTACTGTGCTCACTGGATACCCAGTACTGTGGTCCACAGCCCTTGGGAGTGCGAAGATATTATCCAGCTAATAAGGTGTTGTCTGTTTTAGGCTAAGAAGAGTTTCAGATATGAGCTCACTGACCAGATTGATTTCCTAGTGTGTACTTCATTGCAGAGATTATATAGTGTGGTAGGTAATGAGGAAGGAGAAATAACAATTCATTTTTTAATTGGGTCCTAAATGGGTATGCAGGTTTGCCAAATTTAACCAGATTCCTTTTAACAGCCTTTTCCCAGTTTTCATTGCACCTTTAAAAAAAGCTGTAATATGTTGAGTTACGTTCCAATGTAAGGAAAAAATACATTTTAATTTTAAAAAATTAAAGGAAGTCAAACATCTTTTTAAAAATCTAGAGATATTTTCAGCTGGAACAAAATCATAATAAACTCTTCATCTTCGAACTCAGAAGAGTATTTTTCTTCATAGACTTTGTCTTTAGATCCCTTGCCTATTCACCAGCTTTACCTTTGATTTGGAAAAACAGAACAAAATAAAACAAAAATCATACAGAAAATTCTAAATTTTTCAATATACCTAAATCAGGCCAGCCTATAAATCTATATATCCAGGCTAACAATATGCCCTAGACTGACCTTGCCTGTGAACACAGATAGCTGGAGTTTTGAAACAACCAACCAGTAAGATGTATAATGTCAACCCGTGGGAAAAGAATTGTAGGATCATAGATTTAAGTTTGGAAATGCCTCTGGGGTCTTCTGAGCCCACTCCCTCATTTTAAAGATAAGGGTACTGATTCTTTGCCCAAGAACACGAAAGTATTGAGTGGCAGAATTAGGATTTAAACCTAGTTCCCATAGTTCCAAAGCTAGAGCTGTATCCTTGCTCCCTAAGACATACTTTCACTTTGAGGTGTTCACTCAGTGAGTCACAATCAGCATAGAAAACGATGAGACAAAAAACAAGGGAGATCAAAATGGCATCTCTTCAAATATTGTCCACATCTGTCTGAGCTTCGTAATGATTGCCCTATCTTTTTAACCCCATTATATTCTTACTTTGTTTTAATGTTTTATTGATGCTTCTTTTTATATCACAGTCATTTCCCAGTACCATATGCCCTCTTTTGTACCTGACTTGGCAATAAGTCAGGTAAAACCAACTGACCTCATAAGAAAGTATATGCAGAATTTCTACCACCTCTATAATAAGAATCAACAAACATTTATTAAGAGTTTGCTCTGTGCCATGCATGGAGCTAAGCACTAGGGATACAAATACAAGCAGAAAAATAGTCCTTGACCTTAGGAGCTTCTATTTTAATAGAAGAAGACAACACATAGAAGGAAACTGAAAGAAAGTAGGGGGAGGAAAGGTGATGAAATTACCCAGCACAGAGGCATTTTAAAGAAAGTCTGGCAGGAGAGTCAGGAGTATAACTTGTAGAACAGTGAAAACATTGGTGGCCTAGATGGCCTTCTTATAATGGAGGTTATGAAAGCAACCATCCATTGAGAAAGAAAGGCCTGAGGGGCAGAGTATACTTCCACTGTGTGAAGTCCGTGGCTTCAACCAGCTTGGCAGATTCAACTCAGAGTGTTTTATTATACTACCATCACCCTTCCCCCCAATTAAGTTTTCACTAAATTCTCCAAATGTTTTGGCTCTTAGTCCCAGTCTTTTTTTCTTCCACAGAGAAGAATTCTTCTGAACAATCCCAACAGCCCTCCAAAGAAAAAGAAAACAAACAGACATTGAATAAATATTTCTAGACTGATTGCTAGCATACATAGTCAAGAATGGGGGGGAAAGAGACAATGACGGAGGCATCTTCACAAGTTACCATGCCCAATACAGTGGAGCATTTTCTTGGAGATCTGATTTTTCTTAGACTTGAGATGATACAGTTAGTTTCTGGTAGTAATGGCCTCTGCTGATGTTTATGGCCATATTATACATTCTAAAGCATGTGACTTAAAACTTCTGCAAAGCCAGAAGCTTTTAAAAAAGAGCTAAGTCAGAACTGTATTAAAATGGTGATTTATTAAAAATCCATATTCAATTAAGTATGACATCTATCAGCACATTCAAATTTTAATATTTCACAAACTAGAATTAAGGAGAATGGGAAAAAGCAATGTACTAGGAACTGGGATAAGTGGGTACTAGACTCAGTTCTTCCACTAATGTGCCCCATGCCCTTGGGCAAATCCCTTTTCCTCTCTGACTATTGGTTTTCCCACATGTAAAATTGGGAAAATTGAACTACTACCTAATATCCTTTCCAGCTTGATAATATATTCAGTTGGGTTAGGTTCACTGAAACATCTCCACACCCAGGTCAACTTTCCAAAGTAGAGTACTTTTTTTTTTTGTCGTTAGGAGCTATGTTTATCAAGGTATCACAGTATGTCTTTGAATATTCCACATAGACTATAGAGAGAGAGATTTGAGGTGCATTGTAAATTAATCTGTCAGTAAATGTACTTTAAGCTTTTCAAATTGTTTTTCTATTTCTTTTTTTTTTTAAAAGGTATACATACATTTACACATCGGAACTTTGGCATATCTTTTCTCTTCTGGGTAGAAAAGTTATTGGTGTCAAAAGAAGTATATAATGTCAGACAGGCTTAATGTGTTTGTTTTAGTTAGCTGCATTTATCCGGCTAGGGGGCTGGACTTGAAGGCAGAGAGACCGGATTTCAAATCCTATCACAACCACTTACTAGCTCTGTGACCCTGGACAAGTTACCTCTCTCAGACTCAGTTTCCTCATCCATATAATAATAGCCAACATCTATAGAGCATTTACTGTGGGTCAGGCATTGTGCTAAACACTTAATAATTTTATCTCATTTGATCCTCACAACAACCTCTGGGAAGTAGGTAATATTGTTCTCGTTTTATAGATGAGGAAACTGAGGCAAACAGATTAGTATGTGTCTAAGGCCATATTTGAACCCGGGTTCTCCTGATTCCAGGCCCTGACCTCCATCCACTGCACCAGTAAGCTGCTCAATGGTGACAATAATAGGACCTTCTTTAAAGGATTGTTATGGGAATCAAATGAGATAAAATTGTAAACTTAAAAGCACTATATAAATGCTATCATTATTATTGTTTTCTTAAAGTGAGGTTTCAATTGGTGATATAATTAGGATATGACAGTAAAGATTTTAGAAAATCAGTCAATAACAAAATGGAAAGTGAGTACAGTATGTTCAAGAAAGGGAAAAAAAGAGACAACATATATAAGCAATTTTTATAAAATGCCCTTTCCACATAACCAGTAATTTAATTTTATTCATGGTTTTGTTGCTTTTGTTTAAATAACTAATGGTTTGATAGAATTCAGAAGACTTTCCACCCCCCCCACATTTCTTAACCATTCTATACATAGTCTTTCTTATTCCAACTTTTAAGTCAGAAACTGTAACATAAAAATATTTCAGTGATATTAATAGTTTTCTGGTGCTTTCTAAATCTATGCTTTATATATTTATGGATCAGAAAATTTTCCATTAAGATTATGTAACTCATAAATCAAATAATTTTAGAGCTGAATAGGACCTTTATTGGTCATCAATGCCCTAATGTTACAAATGAGAAAACAGAGGCTGAGATAGGTTAGATGACTAGCCTAGCTAGGCACAGCTAGTTAGAGGAAGAGTCCTAACTAGGACATAGTAACCACTCTTCTATACACGACAGTAATTTGAGACAGAGAAGTTAAAATAACTTGTCCAGGGTCACACAACAAGTAGGTATCTGAGACAAGATATGAAGTCAAGTCTCCCTCTATCCACTATTACACCTACCTGCCTCCAGATATACTGAATGTCTCTTATATGAAGAAATAGCAGTGTGATTAAGGAGAAATATAGTACATGGATGAAAATGGAATGCAAAATGAGTTGAGTTGGGAATTATGCTGGGAATGATAAAATTGATTTTAACATGCCCCATATCAGAGTAAAACACCTGCGAAAAGTCTTCCTATTTTCTGATTGTCTATGTGAAGCTAGTGAATCAAATCCTAATA